AGGGTGGGGGGAAGGGAGCTGTGTTTGTGTCTGTGATAGTTGGGGGTGGGGGATGGGCACCAGTGTAACATGCATTTCCCCCCCCCCCAACTTGGGTCCCCCTTTTTAAAAATGTATTTTTTTGGGGGGGGGAGCTGGTGGTTTCTATTGTAAATTGCACCTCTGTAAAGCTTGTTTTTTTGGAGGGTTTTTTTTGCCTTTCTTCCCCCTTTCTTATTTCTCCCCTCCCCCCTTCCTCCTCTCCTTTGGATTTTATTTTAATGGCTTTAAGGGGGGGGGGGATTTGCAGCAAATTGAATCAAGGAGCCATCATGAGGCAGGCTGGTTTATAGCCTATTTTTAGCCTGATTTGTGTAAAGAAGAAGAATCCTCCCCCCCCCCGTCATATTTACTATTTCTAAAATAGAGGGCGGGGGCGAGACCACCCCAAAGTGTGACCTTAGGTCTGTATTTATTTTGCAGTCGGCTTATGGGTTGTGTCTGCAATGTATATTTTTAAGAAAAGCTGGGGAGAAATGTGCTTGTGTCTGAACTCATGCTTGAGTGGGGGAGGGGAATCTGTGTCCACACTTTCCTCTGTGTGATTTTTTGGGGGGGGTTATTTATTCTCAACGGTGTATATTGTCTTTCATTTGTAACTTAGAGGGGTGTGTTTCCTTTTTGTTTAACTACATTTGAGATACAGCCCTGGATTTAAGGGAAGAAAATATCTGTATATGTAATTAATTCCCCCTCCCCCCTTGTAAAGTGCTAAAGTTATTGTTGATCAGTTTCCTGTTTAATTCTGGGTGGATTTCTGGGTCACATTTTCTCTGACAGGATAAGGGCCACGTGTAAAAGACAATTCATGGGCCCTAGTTTTGCAAATAAGCCTTTATACCTGTTAATGGGCTATTTTTTAAAACTTAATCAGAAATTCAAAATGAGCCAGTCAATCTTTTTTTGTGCATTATATATTTTAAAAAAGAGCTTACACCTAAGTTACGTGTTTTATTGTGCTGCTAGCTGACTATATTTACCCATTGTATGGGCAAAATGCATACTTCACTATATTATTTAATGGGGTAAACATGTATGTTAAGATTGTTCCTAGTGAGTTCAATCTTTCATCACCAAATTCCCTTTTCTGGAAAATGTATAATAAAAATCTCCTTAAGTTGTGCTTAATGGCAGAGTCTTGTTGCTTGAGAATGCATGTTTAGTTTTCAGGATAAAGTTTCATCTGTAGTTGCTGTTCAGGGTTGCAGAGTAAAGTTTGCTCATGGTCTTTGCTGTCAGATGTACCCAACAACCTCATTTTCCTGTCTGTATAAATCAAAACTTTACTGATTTATGGAAGAGATCGCAAAATATGCTTATTCTTTGTTGTTAAAGCATAGGATATGGAGAGTCATGATCTGGAAAACTGTGTTGTCCCATAAAACATCTGAGCCTGATTGCTGTTGCTTTGGTGATCTGGTATATTGAATAGATATTTGAGGGCCTCACAAAACATATTGACAAGGGAAGGGTCTTTATTATATATGGCCTATGCTCTCTGGATATTGAATGTTGGCTTTAGGTAGGACACAGTGTAGACAGAAGTGCTGTTGGCAGAGTTCAGGTTTAAGTTTTGAATAATGCCTTAAGTTTTAGGGCCAAATTTTGGGTCTTGATTGTGCACTGAACTTTGCCAAAGCTCAGATGTCTGGCCTTGGCATGGACATCTTAATATTAATCTTTTCAGCTTAAAGTTAAAATTTAAGGCTCAAATCCTAGAAACACTTATGCAGGTGTGTAACTTTAACCACGTGAGTAGTTCCATTGGTTTTAATGAGACTATTTATGAACTTAAAATTAAATATGTGCTTAGATTTTGATAGAGCCTGAGAATTAAAAAAAACTTCATTGTTAAGGTAAATCTGCTTAGTATAGCTGTTCATGTTATGTAAATAATAATAAACATTCTGTAGCTTCCCAAAGTGATTTATTTTATTATTAATTACATATTACCTGAGACTCTCTCCTAATAAAATTCAAGATCCTGAGAGTGAAGCGCAGGCTTGTCTCCGTGAACACATGGTTCATGTTGGAATGTGTCTTGGGAACTTTGTGGCAAGTCTCCCAAAATAGTATTCTGAACACCTAGAAAATATTTATCATTCACTCCATATGGGAAAGAGGAGAAGGAAATTTAAACATGCAAGAGTAGTTGGGACTTGAGTTGTTAATTTCAGCCTATACACAAGGGTATACAGTTGATATTGTTCATTTAAATGTTTTCTTGCTTCAATGAGAATAATAAATGTTGATCAAAATTATTAGACATAATTGCTACTCAGCATTCCCCCCCACAAAACAATATGAATGAAAATTTTTACAAATGCCAGTTTTAGTTTTTCTTCCAATAAGTGATGTTTCGTACATGGCTTTGAAGTTGCAAAGCATTATATAAATACTAAGCATTGTAAAACTTTACTGTGACTTTGTAATTATTATCACTCAGATAATGAGTGTAATGAATGTTGTTAAATCCTACAAACATGAGGAGATGGATGAAGTACATTGAAATGGTCAAAATGTGAATATATTGTATGTGTATCTATTTGCTTTGTTTTTAGTTAATTTTTTTAGTGAGGAAGAATAGATCCAAGTGCATGTAAAGTATATTGAATGGTTATGGAGTTTACCATAACACAGGAGTTCATGTTCACTGTTATAAAAGCAAATTAAGACGTAGTTCTACAAGATGTTCCACCTGCACAGACCCACACTGAGGTCAGAAATTCTGCACATTTTTAGCGCATCAGAGGTCATCTTGACTTGAATGGGATCTGTACATGTTCATAAAGTTGATCACAAGACTGTTTGCATGGTCAGAGTCTTAACTATAATTTCTGTAAGTGATATTGTTGTGTGAGTGAGAGAGAGAGAGAGAGAGAGAGAGAGAGAAATAAATATAAATACAACTATATAACTTTTGGGTGATTAATTCCTACCAAAAAGATTTATTTACTGTTCATTGGTTATTATTTTTGTAGATCTGATAAACATTCTTCTGAGCTAGTATCTGGTAAGTGACTGTGTAAAAATAAACATACAGATCACTAAAAAGGTGAATGACATGAATAATGGATCTTTTGAATGACCACTTGTTGAATAAATAAGGCTGTTCCTGTGTGGTACTGCAGTATAAAATATCATGTCTTCAATGAATAGCTGATAAAGGAATGACAACTCCTGATTTCCTTTTGTAGGCTCAGGATCCACCCAAAATCTTGGCTTCCCTGCTTGCAGCTTTCAGAACTCTTCAGTGTGATGATGATGTCTAGATGGAAACTAAATTTTAAATAAACTTAGAGATAACTAGCCCGAGCCCCGTCAGCCACACTCTCTCCCCGCCAGCCCAGCCCCACCAGCCAGGCAGAGGAGGCTCTGTCCCAAGCGCAGGTAGGGAGCGCCTCTTCCTCGGGGGTGGTGGCAGGGAAAGCAGAAGGAACTTGGGGGAAGCAGCAGGAAGGGAAAGTTCGCGGCCGGGGTGGGGGAACTGGCAGGGGAAGGAGGGAGCCAAGCGGAATGGGCACTCCTAGCTTTGGGGCTGCAGTTGAGCGGCTCCGCCAAAAGGTTGCACCATTCCCCCTCGTCCGCTGCCGACTCGGCCCCCATGGTGTAGTGCAAGCTAGTGCTTGCCTGCCAGAGCGCTCCCGCCGCACGTCTGGGAGGAGGAGGTGGCCGCCGCCGTCCTCTATTTTGTGGCTGGGCCGAGCTCCGCTGGAGTCGTGGGCAGCCTGGGGCAAACAGGGATGATCCAGCCAGGTGCGTCCTGTTATATTATCTGATTGTGTCCAAAAGTACCTTAAAACCTTCTCCTGGATGAAAGGTTATCCCGTGCAAAGTTTAGTTGTGGTAGCTCTTACAGGGTATGTCTCGACTACAGGCTTTTGTCGACAGAAGTTTTGTCAACAGATACTGTCGACAAAACTTCTGTCGACAAAGAGCGTCTAGACTACATCCAGTTCTGTCGACAAAGCAAGCCACTCAAATCTCTCTCTAATTGGTTGTAGTGTAGTTGCTTAATACTAGAATGGATTTTTAAAATGTTCTTTTCTATATATTTACATTTTCACTCTGTGTGTCAAAACTGCTAATGGTAAGAACATACATTTCCTTGTATTAGTTATGTGTTCTGCCAGAATTTCTGACCATCTCTAACTTTAGGCCAGTACTACACTAGGGGAGAAAAAATAAAACTAAGATATGCAACTGCAGCTATGAGAATGGCATAGCTGGAGTCGACATACTTCAGTCTGAATTTCTGCTGTGTCCCCACAGTGGGAGATGATGGGAAAGTTTCTCCCGTTGACTTCTCTTATTCCTCGTGGAGTACCAGAGTCACTGGGGCCGTGATTACAAAGTATGTTTCCTCTTCTAAAACCACAGAAGTGCTTTTATAGGTACCTAAGAATCTGAAATTCCTATGTTCTTTATTTAAACATTGATTTGTTGACTCTAACCTTATCTCAAATATCATTTCATTATTCGCCATGCATTTTGGTTTCCTTGTATGCTAAACTGTGCAGGTCTATTCCTGTGACGTAAGTGGGACATGTCAACAGCCTTAGAGATTCACTGGCTTACATGTACAAGTAGTTTGCAAATATATAATCAATCACATTTCAAAATTTCTGTGCATACCTCTATTTTCTCCATCTCTGCTGGATTTTTGTTACCTATCCTCCCCACTGATACAGTAAACTACTTATTGCCAAGATGTGTGTGTGTGTGTGTGTTATATCTAGTGTGTGTGTGTGTGTGTGTGTGTGTGTGTGTGTGTCTGTCTGTATTTATAGCAGGGATTCTGTTTAATTGGTTAATCAGTTAAATGTGTTGTTTAACTGGTTTACTGATTAAAGTGGGTGAAGGACGCTCCAGCGCAGCTGGGCTGGAATGACCCCCAGCTCGCCGCAGGTTGGGGCTGCTCTGTCACTCCAGCTTCCACTGGTTAACTGGAACGGATAAGCATCGCCCATTAAGGGTGATGCTTATTGGTTAACCTTTCACATCCATAATGTATATATGTGTGTGTACGCGTGTGCGCATACATACACAAGAATGTTTCTCCCTGAACAAGCCAGTATTTGTTTTGGAAAATGCAATACCTAATAGTAATATGTTAGGACTCTGAAGCTAGGGATGTAAAATCTCGATTATTTGGCTAATTGAATAATTGATCCAATTTGCATTGACTATTCAATTAGTTGATTAGGGTGCTTCTGCATTTGAAGTGTAGCAACAGCCTCAGGATGAAAGGCGAAAGTGCTGCCGGGAGCACAGGGCCAGTAGGAGATTCAAGGAGTCCCCAGCTGGCCCCGTTTCAAAGCAGCAGCGCTGCATGGAGCCTAGGGTCATCGGGGGAGTCCCAAGCTGACCATGGGCTCCATGTGGTGCTGCCGCTTTGAAACTCCGCGTGCAGCCTGGGCCAGCTGGGTACTCCCAGCAGGTCCCAGGCTGCATGCGGTGTTTCAAAGCAGCAGCGCCACGTGGAGCTCGGGGTCTGGCCCCAAGTTCCACATGGCACTCCTGCTTTTGAAGCACCCCTTCCCTCTCCCCCCTATTGCTGCCTCTTTCTGATAGAGGCAGCAAGAGGGTGGGGGGAAGTGACTAGTCGATTAGCCTGTCGACTAGTTGTTCACATCCCAATCTTGTTTACATCCCAAGCTGTGGGTTTTTTTTTTTTTTTTATGAAAAAGGTGTATTGTTCTCATTTGAGGCCAAGTCTACATTAGCACATAGAAAGTTACAGCACTTCAGGCTCTGGTGTGTGAAAAACATCCTCCTCCCCTATCCTTAGTGGAGCAGTTACAGCTCTGAAAAGCATCAGTGTGAGCTAGGCTGCAGCATTGGGAGCCATGCTCCTAGTGCTGTTAGCTTCTCCCCTCACAGAGATACTTTACATAGGGTGCTGGGAAACCTCTCCCCCCAGTGCTCGTGCTGTGGCCACACTTTCAGTGTGTAAAGCGCTGCCATGGCTGTGCTTTAAACTGGTAAGTGTACACAAAGCCTTGGTTTCCTCCCACATGGCAGTTGATAATTTTCACAGGAGTCATCAGATTGAGTTCAGGACTGTCAGGAAGTCTGGTCTTGAATTTGACCAGTTAACTCATTTGAAAATTACATTATGCCTTGTATTCACTTGGATTTCATCTTGAATTGGTTTGAGTTAAGATCACACATTTTTTTTTCATAGAGCAGACAAAGTCGAAGTTGGTTATAAAAAGTGCCAAGGGATTTTTAATGACAGTGAGGGGTCAGAAGTTTAGTTTTGGGTGAGGGATGTAAAATCCCATTTAATTGGTTAATCAGTTAAATGCTAAGTTTAACCAGTTAACTGATTAAATGGGAAAGCGGGTGAGGGCAGAGGGGCTGACCCTCTGCCTGCAGACAGGGACTACTCGGATCATCCGTGCCCATGACATGCCCCAGGCCTGCCACGGACAAGGGCTGTCTTGGCTGGGCTGGAGCACCCATGCCCACGGGAGGTGGGTGGCTGCTCCAGCCCTTACTGGTTAACCATAATAGGTAGGTGAGGCTTACCGGTTAACCATTAACATCCTTATTTTGGATATCTCTGAAAGTCCTTCAGCATTGTAATGGCTGGTATCTTCTAAAACAATTATTTGGTCAGTAGTACTACTACTTCAGGTTCTTGTGAGACTCTTTAGGTTCCTTAGCTTCATAATGAACTTCTGCTCTTGGCTTGTGATCTAATGATTGGAATCAGATGTGAACTAGTTCAAGCGATGTTACAAGTTAGGGTACGTCTAGACTACATGCCTCTGTCGCCAGAGGCATGTAGATTAGGCTACCAGACATAGTAAAATGAAGCGGCGATTTAAATAATCGCCGCTTCATTTAAATTTACATGGCTGCCGCGCTGAGCCGACAAACAGCTGATCAGCTGATCAGCTGTTTGTCGGCTCAGCGCGGCAGCCATGTAAATTTAAATGAAGCGGCGATTATTTAAATCGCCGCTTCATTTTACTATGTCTGGTAGCCTAATCTACATGCCTCTGGCGACAGAGGCATGTAGTCTAGACGTACCCTTAGAGAATATACAGTCACATGAGAAGTGGTGTGTTTGTACAAGGTAAGGTCTTAGTTTGGTGAACTGCTCTCCCATTGACTGAAAAACATGACTAAAAACATACTATCAGACTGACTTGGAAGGAAGAAGCTTCAGGGGGTAGCCAAGTTAGTCTGTACAGGATTAACTTAAAAAACAACAAAAGGTCTGGTAGCACTTTATAGACTAAGAAAACATGTAGATGGTATCATGAGCTTTCGTGGGCACAACCTGCTTCTTCACCAACACCACAACACATAGCACTCCTGCATCTTTAGAGGCTTTCCATGCAACTACTAAGCCATCCTGAAAGATCCTAGTTTATGACATTTGAAAAGATGGGTGGCTATATTGAGCTTACATTGCAATGCTGCTTGCTACACTAATTACTCTTTTTAAAAGTCTGAATTAATATCTTTGGAAAACAGAAAATCTTGGGTAGACGTTGATGGTCAGGGTTTCAGATATTGAGCACCCACAGGTCACTCTGAAGTTTGTGGGAGTGCTGTGTGCTTAGCATCTCTGCAAACCAACCCTAAATGTGTTTCACTGGCTTTTGAAAACAGTCCTGAAAGTCCTTTTTTTTTTTGGG